AAAAAAAAAAAGAAGAAATGAAGGTAAAGAACTACTCAGAATTGAAGACATGAGAATTTAGATTGAGAACTTCACATTAAGTTCTTTTTTTATCTATAATTTTTTTAAAGTTCATTTTGAGAGAGAGCACAAGCAGGGGAGGGACAGAAAGAGAGGGAGAGAAAGAATCCCAAGCAGGCTCTGCAGGGTCAATGCTCAAACCCAGGAAACTGAGATAATGACCTGAGCCAAAATCAAGAGTCAGACGTTTAACCAGCTGAGCCACCAAGGTGCCCCCAATTAAGTTCAAGCTACAAAAAATAGCATGGTGCACTCATGAAAATCTCAAAAATATTGAGATTTCTTAGACATTCAGTATTATCTTTTTTCTTAATGATGAATGTACTGTATACAATACATATTTATTCTAGTAACAAGTCTTTTTAACTTGCATGTTGTATGTGGTTTTAACTTTAGTTTACATTTGGGTCTTTTATTTTTAGGATATTTTCAGCTAGATGGTGGTTGGATCATGGTCTTAAATGTAATGTGTGGTATACAATGGTGGTTGAACATCTGGAGCAGTATTTTTCAAACCTATTCTTTGTGAAGCCCCAGAGTTCTTAGAAATGCACAGTGGGTAGGGAGGGACAAAGCAGCAAAAGAGTTGGCAGGACTCCAGGCTCCCATCACCATTTAATTTTTTGTTGTTTATTTTTATTTGAAAGCTATAAGTCTTTTACTCCCTTCACAAATACAGAAGTACGGTTGACCCTTGAACAACACGTATAGAATACATATAACATACAAAATATGTGTTAATTGGCTATTTATGCTGTTGGTAAGGCTTCCAGTCAACAGTAGGCTATTTAGTAGTTAAGTTTTTGGGGATCCAAAACTTTTTGTGGATATTCAACTGCAGAGGCTGGGTGGGGGGGATTAGTGCCCCCTAATCCCTGTGTTGTTAGAGGGTTAACTGTATATAAAGTAAAAAAAGTAAAAGTCTTATTATATATTGAGATTCCATGTAAGATTTTGTTTTAGAAAAAACATTCTGCTTCTTAAATAGTCAAAACCTAGGGGCGCCTGGGTGGCGCAGTCGGTTAAGCGTCCGACTTCAGCCAGGTCACGATCTCGCGGTCCGTGAGTTCGAGCCCCGCATCGGGCTCTGGGCTGATGGCTCAGAGCCTGGAGCCTGTTTCCAATTCTGTGTCTCCCTCTCTCTCTGCCCCTCCCCCGTTCATGCTCTGTCTCTCTCTGTCCCAAAAATAAATAAACGTTGAAAAAAAAAAAAATAGTCAAAACCTAGTAAAAGTGCTTTTGTTAATCATTTATTTTTTTTCTACCAGTTAATAACATGAGAAATAAGGACAATATGTAATAAAGAGTATGATTATAAGTAGACTGGGGAGAAGTTATAGTATTTGTAAAATATGCTTAACTTTCATTTGAAAAGTGTTCTGTCAATTCAAGAAAAAATTACAGTCTTTTTAAATATCACAAATGATTGTTTTGACCTTAGGTTCCTCAAAGAAAGACACAATCAGGTTGCTTTGATTTGGATTCTTCATTACTGCATCTGAAAAGCTTATCATCTGGAAGGTATTTATATTAAAACTGATTTGTGTATTTGAAATAATATACTAATTTCTAGTCTTGTGTAATGTTTACTCTAAAAATCACAATTCTAATAGGAATATTATTTTCTAGTTGGGTATCATTTTCAATATTAATTTCACACAGTTATTAAGGATGAAGGGAGAAATTAAGACAATGAGTAGCTAGTGTATATTGGTCATCATAATAAATACATTGGTTTTAGCACTTAAGTAAGTTTGAATATTTCTGGTCATTCACCTCCTCCTTTACCTTACACTTCTTTGCAAAAAAAAAAAAAAGCCTTGGAAATGTGTCCATGTTGACAAATAATACTCTCCTTATTTTCTTTAGTCACATAATTTTGCCTTTATATTCTCATTTTTAACTGAAAATGAAGACTGATAAAGAAGACTGCATTATATATTTCTAGCAGATGCCACTATGTGATATAAATTCTGTCTTGAAACCTTCTAGGATATTACTTATATTTTTTTTGTCAAATATTAGAACAAAGACCATAAAATCTAATCAGGAATTTAAACTAGATATTTCATATCTTAAAATTTGGTTGGATTAATTTTTTATCATGTAGTTTAAGTAAAATGGATCAAATTCTCCTAATTTAATTTTATACAAAAAATAAATTAGAAAATACTGTGCTTAATGTGTTTGTTTGCTGATTTTCTTTTTAATAGTCATCGACCGTGTTTAAACACTGAAGATGGTCCAGATATTCATGAAAAACCATTTCTGAGTTCTAGTGCTCCACCTATAACAAGTCTTAGTCTCTTAGGAAATTTTGAGGTAATGTTTTTGAAAACTATTTTAAGAGTTGAAGTTTCTTAACCTAGACCTAGGGTGTTATTTATGTCATTTGTTTGTGAAAGGGAAATAAATAAATGGATTGTATTTTTTCAAAGCCTTGAAATCTTTCCCTTTTCCTTTCTGTGAGAAGTGAAGTTAGAATTGTTGGTACTGCCATCTTATAACTGGGTACCTTGTAGGGGAGTTAGAGGACTTAGGTAAACTGGAGTGAGGTGTCTGTTACTCTAGCCAGAGAAGGGACTTGACCACACCTTACCTGATAGTACTGGTTCTGAGTCCCAGGAAGGAGGATGGTGGACTGATAGGAGCCCCTTCATGATCAAGGAGGTTAATTTTCAAAATCAAATGTTTTTTTGTACTATACTTGTAACTCTTTTGCAAATCTAAATCTATTCTCTTTTTATTTTTGGGAAAGGGAGAGCAAGCAGAGCGGGGGGGAGGGGAGGGGAGAGAGAGAGAGAGAGAGAGAGAGAGAGAGAGAGAGAGAGAGAGAATATCTTAATCTTATGCAGGCTCCATGCTTGACGCAGAGCCCAACATGGGGCTTGATCCCATGACCCTGAGCCGAAATCTGGAGTAGGATGCTCGACCAACTGAGCCACCCAGGCACCCCTAAAACTATTCTAAAATAAGATTATTTTAAAAAATGGAATGGTTAGTCTCCAATAATGTGCTATTATTTTATTTAATAAGAATATTTCTACTTGGGATCAAGTGTACTATTGGATTAGCTACCTTTAATTAGAAAACAGCCTTGAACATTGAATCACTATGTTGTACACCTGAAACTAATATTGTATGCCAACTGCACATCAATAAAAAAAAAGAAAAACAACCTGAAACATAAGCCTGTAAATGGAGTTTTAAAAGTGAATTTAATTGGTGAGGTTTTTTTATGGGAAAATAATGTAAAATTAGTAGTTTTAATTTAAATAGCTTTACTGGAGTTATGGAAGTTTGATATGTTAACAGTATGCTGTATTTAAAACTGTATTTGATTTTGAAGCTGTCTTTCAAAGTTTTAAAATAGTTATGATAAGTTGATTTCTTTTCCAGTCACTTTTAAGGTATTACTTCAGAACTGTTGAACTCTCTATTCTCTGTCATTTTAAAATGGCATGAGGCCATTGTGAGTATCACTTATTCTGCAACCTTTGTAGTAAAAGAAAATTTGTGAGTGGGGAAAAAGAGCATCTCATATGTGAAAGCCTTAGGAAAGAGAAGAAGGTTAAAAGATCAGTACATTGGAATGTTATTTGTGCAGATATGCATATATTTTCACTTGACTTCAGTAGAAAAATTCAGAGAAGTTCTGAGACTGTCCAACCCATAAGTTCTCTTTAATTTATAGTTGTCCTTTGTATCAAGAGTTTATTTCTTTTTATTTCCATTATATTGATATACCACTATTTGTTTATTCACTCACTTGATTCTAGGCCTTTGGGTCGTTTCTAGTTTGGGGCTATTACAAATAAAGCTGCTGTGGATATTCATGGATGCATTTTTGTGTGGACATAAGTTTTCATTTTGTTTGGGTAACTACCTAGGAATGGAATGTCTGGGTAGTATGGTAGGTATATCTTTAACTTCTTTTAAGAAACTGCCAAGGTGTTTTCCAAAGTGGTTATACCATGTTTAAGTCCTACTAGTAGTGTATGGGGGTTCTAGATCATCCACATCCTTGCCAGTGTTTGCATGGGTCAGTCGTTTTAATTTTAATCATTCTAGTAGTTTTGCAATGCTGTTGAACTGTGGTTTTAATTTGTATTTCCCTGATTACTCATACTGTTGAGCCTCTTTTCCATGCTTTATCATTTAGCTTTTCTTTCCCAAGTAAGCACATAATGTTTTCCAAATAATTATTTTTTTCATTTATGTTTTTTGAGAGAGAGAGAGAGAATGAGGGAATGCAAGCATGGGAGAAAGACAGAGGGAGAGAATCCCAAGTACGCTACTCGCTTAGTATGGAGCCCAATGTGGGCGTCCAGCCCACGGCCTTGGGATCATGACCTGAGCAGAAATCAAGAGTTGGACACTCAACCAGCTGAGCTACCCAGACGCCCCTGAAGAGCAATAGTATTTTAATTTTAGTTTTGTTAAATGTCCAATTTATTCTTTTCTTTTATGGATCTTAATTTTGATAGTGCATCTGAAAAATCTAACCCAACACTTCTCCACCATGGCACTATTGATATTTGAGCCAGATAATTCTTTGTTATGGGATCTGTTTGATGCATTATACGATATTTAGTAGAATCTTTGGCCTCTGTCCATTAGAGTTCAGTACCATCGTCTGCCCCTTACCCCCCAGGTATAGCAGTAAAAAATATCTCTAAACATTGACACATGTACCGTGGTTGAGAACTATTTGCTTGACCCCAAGGTCACAAAACTTTTTTCCTACAAGTTTTATTGTTTTAGCTCTTACATTTAGTTGTGTGATCCATTTTGAGTTAAGATTTATATATGATATGTAGTTTATAGTCCAGTTTCATTTTTATGAACATGAATGCCCAATTATTTTAGAATTGACATGAACTAATGTGAGTTCTCTAACATGTTATTCTTTCTTTTTTTTTTTTTAAAAAAATCTAATGTTTATTTTTGAGAGGGAGAAAGAGACGGAGTGCAAATAGGGGAGGGGCAAAAAGAGAGGGAGACACAGAATCCAAAGCAGGTTTCAGGCTCCGAGCTGTTAGCACAGAGGCCAACGCAGGGCTCAAACTCACAAACTGCCAGATCATGACCTGAGCTGAAGTCAGATGCTTAACTGACTGAGTCACCCAGGCACCCCTATTCTTCCTTAAAATTGCTTCAACTATTGTAGCTCCTTTCCCCTTCATCATGTAAATTTTAGAGTTAGCTTACCTATTCCTACAAAACAGACTGCTGAGATTTTGTTTGGATTGCGTTGATAATAGGTCAATATGTGGAAAAGTGACATCTGAAGAATATTAAATCTTTATATTTTTAAGGTTTTTAAAGTAATCTCTAAACCCAACATGGGGCTCACTTAAAACCATGAGATCAAGAGTTGCATGCTCTAACTGAGCCAGCCAGGTGCCCCTAAAATGTTTCTTAAACGTAGCAAGTTAGCACTAAATTGTTACAAGTGATTATGTCATCAAGTGAGCTTGAGAGTGTTAACAAGATTTTAAGTGCTTCTCTGTGTCTAGCACCTTGAATAGGCTCTATGAAGGGTAAGAAAATTTCTATTATACCTGCTCTGGTAGAACATAGTTTTATTTACAGAGTTAAGAATAACATATTAAATAATTAGGTTTGAACAGTGGTGAAGTTTAAGGATAGTTCAGTGTGCATTGGAATAGTGAGAGGAGGCCAAACTTCACAGGATTGTAGAAGATTGAGAGAGAAAAGTTGATTTTGGTTCAAATGAACATCTGAATAAGGACTTGAAAATAGTAGCAACTTTTTTTTTTTTTTTAGGTTTAACCTGTCATTTATTTATTTTTATTTTTAATTTAATTTGATTTTAATTCCAGCATAGTTAACATACAGTGTTATATTAATTTCAGGTGTACAATGTAGTGATTCAACAATTCTGTACATTACCCTATGCTCTTCAATGACAAGTGCACTCTTTAATCCCCATCACTTATTTCACCCATCCCCCTACCCACCTCCCCTCTGGTAACCATCAGTTCTCTATAGATGAGAGTCTGCTTCTTGGGTTAACGCTCTTGGGTTAACGCTTTTTCCTTTACTTGTTTGTTTTGTTTCTTAAATTCTACATGAGTGAAATCATACAGTAATTGTCTGTGATTGATTTATTTTGCTTAGGATTATACTCTCTAGCTCCATCTATGTTGTTGCAAATGCCAAGGCTTCATTCTTTTATAAGGCTGAATAATACTTCATTGTGTTTGTGTGTGTGTGTGTGTGTAGCAGTATATATATATATATAGAGAGAGAGAGAGAGAGCAGTATAACTGTGTATGTGTATACACACACACACACACACACACACACCCTATATCTTACATCCATGTATTGTAGGCTGCTTCCATAATTTGGCGATTGTAAATAATGCTGCTGTAAACACAGGGGTGCATGTATCCCTTTGAATAGTGTTTTTGTATCTTTTCTGTACATATCTAGTAGTGTGGTTACTGGATTGTAGGGTAGTTCTAGTTTTTAACTTTTTGAGGAACCTCCATGCTGTTTTTTTCTTTCTTAATTTGTTTTTTAACATTTTTTGAGAGCGGGAGAATCAACAGCACAAGCAGGGGAGGGGCAGAGAGAGAGGGAGACACAGAAACTGAAGCAGGCTCCAGGCTCTGAGCTGTCAGCACAGAGCCCAGCATGGGGCTCAAACCCACAAACTGTGAGATCATGAGCTGAGCTGAAGTTGGAGGCTTAACCGAATGAGCTGCCCAGACACCCCAGAAACCTCCATATTGTTCACCACAGTGCCTATACCAGTTTGGATTCTCACCAAGAGTACAAGAGAGTTCCTTTTTCTTTACATTTTTGCCAATACTTATTGTGTATGTTTTTTATTTTAGCCATTCTGACAGGTGTGAGGCAATATCTCATTGTAGTTTTGATTTGCATTTCCCTAATGATGAGGGATGTTGAGCATTTTTTCATTTGTCTGTTGGCTACCTATATGACTTCTTTGGAGAAGTGCTTGTTCATATCTTCTGCCCATATTTTAGTTGGATTATTTTTTTTGGGTGTTGAGTTGTGTGAGCTCTTTGTATATTTTGGATACTAATCCTTTATCATATATGTCATATGCAAATATCTTCTCTCATTAAGTTACCTTTTAGGTTTGTTGATTGTTTTCTTCGCTGTGTGGAAGTTTTTTATTTTGATGTAGCCCCAATAGTTTATTTTTGCTTTTATTTCCCGTGTCTGAGGAGACATATTTAGAAAAATATTGCTGTGGCTGACATCAGGGACATTACTGCTTGTGCTCTCTTCCAGTATTTTTATGGTTTTAGGTGTCTCACATTTAGGTCTTGAATCCATTTTGAATTATTTTTGTGTATGATGTAAGGAAGTGGTCCACTTTAGTTCTTTCATATGTAGCTGTCTAGTTTTCTCAACACCATTTGTTGAACAGACTGTCTTTTTCCCACTGGATTTTTCTTTCCTCCCTTGTCAAAGATTAATTGACCATATAGTTGGGGGTTTATTTCTGGGTTTTCTATTCTGTTCTGTTGATCTATTGTGTCTATTTTTGTGCCAGTACCATACTATATTGATGACTACAGCTTTGTAATATAACTTGAAGTCTGGAATTATGATGTCTCAAGCTTTGCTTTTCTTTTTCAAAATTGTTTTGGTTGGGGTACCTGGGTGGCTCAGTCAGTTAAGTGTCCAACTTTTGATTTCCACTGAGGTTATGATCTCACAGTTCATGGGTTTGAGTCAACATTGGGCTCCACACTGATAGTGTGGAGCCTGCTTGGGATTCTCTCTCTCTTCCCCTTTCTGCCCCTCCCCTGCTTGTACTCTTTCTTAAAATAAACTTTAAAAAATTTCTCTTGTTATTTGGGGTCTTCTAGGGTTCCATATAAATTTTAGTATTTTTTCTCTAGTTCTGTGAAAAATGCTGTTGTTACTTTGATAGGGGTTGCATTAAATATGCAGATGTCTTTGGGTAATATAGAAATTTTAACTATATTTGCTTTTCCAATCCATGAGCATATAATATCTTTTCATTTCTTGTGTGTCCTCTTTAATTTCTTTCATCATTGTTTTATAGTTTTCAGAGTATAGGTCTTTTTACCTCTTTGATTAGGTTTATTCCTAGGTATCTTACTATTTCTGGTACAATTTTAAGTAGGATTGTTTTCTTAATTTCTCTTTCTCCTGCTTCCTTATTAGTATATAGACATGGAACAGATTTCTGCACACTGATTTTATATCCTGAGACTTTACTGAATTCATTTATCAGTTCTAGTAGTTTTTTTGGTGGAGTCTTTCGGGTTTTCTAAATATAGGATCATGTCATCTGCATAGAGTGATAATTTTACTTCTTCCTTACCAATCTGGATTCCTTTTTTCTTTTTTCTTTTTTTTTTTTTTTTAATTTTTTTTTTCAACGTTTATTTTTTTTGGGACAGAGAGAGACAGAGCATGAACAGGGGAGGGGCAGAGAGAGAGGGAGACACAGAATGGGAAACAGGCTCCAGGCTCTGAGCCATCAGCCCAGAGCCTGACGCGGGGCTTGAACTCACGGACCGCAAGATCGTGACCTGGCTGAAGTCAGACGCTTAACCGACTGCGCCACCCAGGCGCCCCCTTTTTTTCTTTTTGTTGTCTGATAGCTGTTGCTAGGACTTCAGAGTGGACACCCTTGTCTTGTTCGTGATCTTAGGGGAAAAGCTCTCAGTTTTTCCCCACTGAGTATGATTTTAGCTGTGGGTTTTTATTTAAGGCCTTTATTGTGTTAAGGTATGTTCCCTCTAAACCTACTTTGTTGAGGGATTTTATTATGAATAGATATTGTACTTGATCAAATGCTTTTTCTGCATCTGTTGAAATGATCATATAATTTTTATCTTTTTTCTTATTGAAGTGACTATCATGTTTATTGATTTTCAAATACTGAACCATCCTTGCATTCCTGGAATAAATCCCACTTGATAGTGAGAAATGATTTTTTTAACATATTGTTGGATTCTGTTTGAGTAGCAACTATTTTTTTGGTACCAGAAATCATAGTAATGTTTTTCTTTAAATGAAAAAAGAAATGAATGTGTTAACTTCTAAAATTTGTTTCTTAAAATTTATTTTGTCTTCCAGGAGTCTGTCTTGAACTATCGTTTAGATCCTCTTGGCATTGTTGATGGTTTTACTGCTGAGGTAGGGGCAAGTGGTATTTTCTGCCCCACACATTTGACTCTTCCAGTTGAAGTGTCATTCTACAGTGTTTCAGATGATAATGCTCCCTCTCCTTATATGGCAAGTATTTTAAAAAATTGTCTCTGTCTGCTAAAATCAACCAATTAAATCGCAAGTGTCTTTAAATTTAAAGAAATTTAATACTGCATTGTGGTAATACTTGAAAACATAAAGCATTTCCTAAGAGAAAATTGAAGGCTGAATAGAAACAAAAGTACTGACATGTTATCTCACAACTTCTTTCTGAGCTAGCTGTAACAACAAATAATCCTCTTTTGCATTTGAGGATCTGCTGAAAATTTTCTTGTTTCTATGTGATTTAAAAACATGATAAAACTTTTATTAGTGACACTATGATTTCATATCTTGCTGAATTCAGACAAATTCTCAAGTACTTACTATATACTCTGGTCCCATAAGTGTTGCCTTCACATGTGATCCTCATTTCAGGAAGATTTAGGTAAAGATTTGGTGAGTTATTAAGTCTTCTGTGAGACTCTTTCACTCTCTTTATGCTGTTTGTTTCGAGACCATTTTTTTCTAATCCTAGAGTTGTTTAGAATACTAGCTATTTCTGTTTTCCACACTAATGTTCTAGTGGAGAGTAGGATAGCTAAGTAAAAGCACAGTTTTGACTCAATGATCCCATGATTACGTCTTTCCCATTTTGTTATTCTGATCACTTGAGAATAAAATAAGCCTTTAACTGCAAAAATGATACTGAGTTTTGGTGCATGTTTGGTATCAGCCCTTTTACAAAAGACAAAGAAAGAGAAGTGGCTAACCCTGCAAGTCTATACATAGTTTACAGTAATGGTCTCAAATAAGGGGTCACATCTGTGTTTTCATGTTAGGTCTTACTTTGAGAAATACAGACTGCTATAGTTATAGAAATATACAGCCCTGGCCTTGCGATTTGAATTTTCTAGCTTCCCACTTGGCCCAATTGCTTCCTCTAATATCCTTCTCCACAACCTTCTAGATTTTCAAGAAAGAACTAAAGGTTGTGAAAAGAGAAATCTATGTAATAGACAACAAAGGAAAGGAAGTTATACATTTTTAGGGACTTAAATATAGCCTACTCATTGTTGGCCCTGTTTGCTTAAGGAAAGTTGTTTTAGCCTTATTCCATTTTAAGAGTAAAATGAAGAGCTTCATACTTCAGTGTTTCATACTTCGAATGAGAAAACATAATGGTGTCTGCTCATTTATTGTAATCTGTCATTAATGTACAAAACCCCCAATGACCATTAAGGTGGGTTAGAAACAAGATAAAAGAGTGAATGACTGAAATCAGCTCAAATAAATATTTTTGAGTGAAATTAACAAGGAAGAGAGAATTTGAATATGCTTTTTAAAGAGTAGAACAGCATTTATCTTGACCTTGGTTGACATCTAAAAAGATAGGATTAAATGATAGAGTTTTGTCACTCTCTCTAGAAAGTACACACAAATGGTTATAACTTTTGAATAGATACCAGAAAGAGTATGAAATCAGGTTATTGAGTTGAGTTTGTCTGTCCTTTAAGAATCCCTGACTTACTCAGTTAAGCTTCCACATTCGGCTCAGGCCATAGATCTCACGGCTTGTGAATTTGAGCCCAGCATTGGGCTGACAGCCTAGAGCCTGCTTCAGATCCTTTGTCTCCCCCTCTCTGCCCCTCCCCCTCCCCATCCCTCCCTCCCATCCTCCCTCCCTCCCTCCCTCTCTCTCTCTCTTTCTCTCAAAAATAAGCAAACATTAAAGAATCCCTGACTTACTTTTCTTTGATAATATTCTTCAGTAAACTTTCCATTTTGTAATTAAATTTTTTCTAAGTTAGTTTATTCATTAGGAATGGGTTCCTTTTGCAAATGACCCAGTCCAAATCTTAGACAACAAATCTTTCCTACTATAAATTAATAAAATTAATCATATTTATTTAGGGAATCTTATTTACATTCTTGTAGTTTAGTGTGTTTTTAAAGGACTGATCACATTTTGATAATATATATCACAGACCAGCAGAACTGAGATACCAAATTCCTACTTGTTACCTTGGGACCTGTCATCACAAATAATACAAATGACTCACAAAAGATAATATTATGTACAGAAAATTCTGTTTTTGTGATATAGAACTGGTACAGGACTTTTCATGAAATAATTCCTTAAAGATTAACTCAAAAAGCCACATAATATCTCTCTCCAACTTGGGTATCACTGGTAAAAAATGTTCTCCAACTGTTACATAGCAACATGTCACTGTTTAGAAACTATTGAATGGTGGAACCAGGTAGAATGGTCTAAAGAAGGCATGCCAGTGGTAAATTCATGGTACGACTTCAATTATCATCAGATTAACAAGACCATATGTTATCTTTCTCTATTTGTAATTCACCAAATTAAGATAAACTTCTTTCAGTTTTACTTACTGCATGCATATTCTCTAGAGCAGAGTAATTTGTGGAGTTTTTGTGTAAGATTTTAATTCTGTTTATCTTCATCTTTCTTTTCCATCCTTAAATACCAGGCAAAATGTATTTTTCTTCTTTATGTTAAATAAAATAACTTTTGGGGCACCTGGGTGGCTCAGTTGGTTAAGCGTTGGCTCAGGGTGGTAGGATTGAGCCCCACAATGGACTCTGCACTGACAGAGGAAGCCTGCTTGGGATTTTGTCTCTCTCCCCACCTTTCTCCCTCTCTCTCTGACCCCTCCCCTGCTTGTGCTTTCTCTCCGTCTCAAAATAAATAAACCTTAAGAAAATAAATACAATAAGTACAGTAACTTTTATAGGTAGAAACATGAATATTCTGACCAACTAAAATAAATTTAATTATTAAAAATAATTATTAAATAATTAAGTTATTTAAAATTACAATAATAAATAATAAAATTCCAAATAATTTCCCAATTTCTGTCTAAAATTTGTAATTTGCTAGTGCCCCTACTGATCTTACGTTGCTTAGAGATGGTTGTGAAGTGTTGGCTTAACCTATAAAGTTTTAGAAATACACATACTCTCTTTATAAATTGATTTAATTATTGCTACCATGTTCTGAAAACTATTAGAATTGTATGTATCAAAGGAAATAAGCATAGGCTTGGTAGTAGTAGTTTTTGCCCCACCAGTTTTCTTATACGTATTTAGGGGAAGGAGGCAAGGAAAGAACAGTAATGTATTGCCTATAGCAATGTGATTATGAAAGGTAGCTATTATTTGGATATATTTTACTTTTTTTCCTGGAACTAGGAAGAAGAGGGGCATTATATGCCACAGCTTTTTTCACATAAAGCAGATCATAAGAAATTGTTAAAGCTTCATTATTATTTTGGTTAGAGATGCAGTTTGTTAATATGCTGTTTTTATGCTTTAAATGACCATGCGGTAAATCACATTAGACAAGAACAACATATGTCCTTTCAGTGCCCATTTCCACAAACATTTCCTAATATTAATATGTTAATATAACAGTCTAAGGATGGCATTTGATTCACATAGCAGAGTCTGGCTTTCCTTTTCACCTTTGTGCACTTTTTCTTTTTACCCACCAACCCTGGTCTTTCTTACAAATCCAGCAAAAATGTCTGATGGGACAGTCCTGTTTTATATTTACTTCAGTTGACATGTTTGGTCATGTACAATGTAAAATGATGGGATATGAAATGCAGAGCATGCATTTATTCTACTTAACTACTCGAAACTATTTCCCCAGTTAAAACCAATGAAACAGCCCCCTTTCTAAGAATTATATATCACAGTTACCACCTGTAGTCGTTTGGTCATCTTAGTTCTCTAGAAACTTGCATATATTCAATTCTAGCTTTCCTTGTTTTAATTTATACGTGCTTCCCGTTGTTTGGGTTTCTGTAGTGATTAGAACATCCTTCTCAGAAAACTATGTTTTCTAGTATAGGGAAGTATAGTACTTCTTAAACTTTAATGTACATATCATCTGGAGGATCTTAAAACTACAGCTTTGATTTGATAGATCTAGGGAGAAGCCATAAATTGTGCATTTCTAACAAGTTTATAGGTGATGCCGATTATGCTGGTCTATCTCTAGTCAGAAATCCATATATGTAATTTAACTCACTGACTAAAGAATTTACTTCACTGTTGGCTAAGACTTAGACCCTTCTGCATTCTTTACTTTTTGTATGTCCAAAGAACAATAAATTAGTTGCTTTTTCATTTCTCTCTTTCCACATGATACAAGAAAATAATCCTGTCTTCTAACTGTATTTCCTTTTTAAGGAACTTCTATATTGTATATCTTAATGGAAATTTCAAACAGTGTAATGTTATTTATTTCAACATCTGCAGGAAGAGCAGTAAATTGTTTCCTTTTGGGTGGGACCCTCAATATTTCATACTCAGAATGTATCTATTGATGGGAATGTTTTTGCATACAAATAGAATTCTAAAATTTTAGTAGTTACATTATTATACTTATTTTAGCCTTTCATATACATATGCATCAGTTTGTACTCAATTTGTCTTCTTTTATTTCAAGGGTGTGATTACTTTAGAGTCCCTTGGTAAAAGGGGTTATCGAGTACCTCCTTCAGGAACAATACAAGTGGTATGTGTTTTATAGTCTACAATTGCAATAATCATTCTCTCACATACATATAGAACTTAGCCCTTTCTCCTGCTACTGCTGCTGCAACAACTTTGGTAAGTAACAGTGGGGCTGCAGCTTTCTTTGGAGTTTCCCTGCTCTGCCCCAGGAATGGCCATGTGGGGACCTCCATAAAAGGAAAACATTAATAATCTAATCAAGGTGAATGCTTTAGAAAAATAGTATATGACAGTTTACGTAACTTAAATAGAGCTGTTTTCAATGTAATTAGAACTTTACTAGTTCCTTCTATTTAATATAGTTAGTCAGACTGAGATTGACCTATTTAAAAGGAAACCTCAAATGCTAGTATTGCTTTGGCAGGAAAACTTGGGAAACAAAATTATATTATCCCTGGTGTAATAATTTCTAAATTAACCTACTAAAATGGTTACACCAAGTAGAAATGTAGTCTGACAGATGTGAGGGCAGAGAAAGCATCTTTCCTTTTGGTGTAGGTGTTGATCTAGTTTTGGCTCAGGAGAATTCCTTGAGCCCAAAGCAGTCCTTCATCATCGTTGGTCTTGGTTTTTCAGAAGGGTAATTTGATATCAAGGCCAGTTTACAATTGGGTTCATCTCCAAGTCAGACCCAGGATAATCTTACATGCCCAAAAGTATATTATAAAGCTGGCTCTAGCAGACTGACAAGAATCTAATATTTGTCAGTTATACCTCAAGAAAGTTGAAATTAAAAAGAAAACAAAAAGTCTAGCTAAGTTCCTTATACTCAGGATCTGGTCTAATTCAACAAGCCGTTTTATGCCTTTTGGCCTCAATGCGATCAGTGCTTCACCAGACCACTTTTAATCATCACTATTGTTCAAATACATCAAGGAGTCTTCTGTACATTTGCTTAGTTCACATCACACAGGGATGAAACATGGTATTATGTGATACACTTGTGTGCACATATTGCAATATATACATATATATATATACATATATATATGTATATATATATATAATTTCACTGAGGAAGAATCATTGCATATTAAAGTAAGACTTTTATGTTAGATGGATTTCTTGAACTAAAAAGAGTGATAATCATCTTGTTTTCCTGCCCTTGGCTATGTAGTTCATGTGAAAGCATGGAAAAGCTAGCTATCAGTTGTCATAATAATGAGGCATAAATCCCAAGGCAGCACGTTCATACCCCTTTGTTTGAGGACTACCAACTTTAATGATTAATTTTAAATCTGAAATTTAGGTGTGTCTTTCATTCCTTATATAGTTTAATTATTTATCAACATGGTTTGAACTTTTAGATTGCTAGTTGTTGTGGTTGTTGAATGTATTAGCCTTAATCTTAAGACTCACTAGATTTCAAAAGTTGGATCATAATATTGATATATTTCTCATTTTGATTCAGTGAGTGATGTCCAGTGCCACGGATGAGCTTCTGAAAGCACGGGCACCAAGTTACCTATTGATGTGTTGGTAATTTGGTTAAAGTCAGATCAGCAGCTTGGGATCTTGTTTAAAAATTAGTACTTTAAAAAATAATATTCCTCTGGTTATTAATAGTCAAGTATCAGTTGAATTTAATTCAGTCTTAACTAAGGATACATATTTTGGTCTATTATAATATTGATGATTTTACACTACAGTTTTTGAAACGAATCCAACTGTGAGAACATGAAGTATTATTTAGTCTACTTGGTAACTAATAATACACCTTATTTTCTAAACTTGGAAAAATTTCCAAATAAGAAAAAGTCTCTTTTTTCAGAACATGTTTTTAATTTTATAGTAACTATACATACCTAGTATACCAAAAAGTCTAGTTTTACCTAGCTTTTTTATTTTAAAACAATTTCTATTTACTTATCAAAATGTGATGAAAATTAACATTCTGTTTTGAGTACTTTGGGTTTGACACACTTTAATAAAGCTAATGTTTGAAATAAGTGAACTGGAATTTTTTAATCCAGTAAGGGTGTATTTTGCTTACTTTAGTGGAAGCATTTGTAAAAATCTGAACAAAGAGTAAAAGTTTATATTGTCTAATATGAAATTTGTGACTAAAGATTTTGATTTGTTACAGGAAATAAATTGAACCGTTTTTTAAAATAGTGAATATCTTTTCATAAACTTCTAAAATGTTATTGACTTTAGTTCCCAAAACTAAATTATATCCAGTGGGATTAACTTCTTATTAAAAAGTCTATTTTATTATTGGCACAATTATTTTGCATCAACTCAATAAATAACTTTTTTAAGAAAAATTTTTATATTGTTTCTTCAGACCTTATTTAACCCTAATAAGACTGTGGTGAAGATGTTTGTTGTGATATATGACTTACGAGATATGCCAGCTAATCATCAGACATTCCTACGACAAAGAACTTTTTCTGTACCTGTTAAACAAGAAATGAAGAGAAGCGTTAATAAAGAGAACATCCGACATACAGAAGAACGGTTATTGCGCTACCTCATACATCTGAGGTAATGTTTCAAATAAATATGAAAATATGTTACTTCAGAAGAACAACTCCAAATTTTTTTGTTTATTTTAACACGTGTCACTCTAGACCAGTGCCCCCTTGGAATTTGCTTAATTTGGAAACTTTTCGTATGCCAAGATGCAGAAAACACAGAGCATATCTTCCTTCATTCATTGTTACTTGTTGAATTAAGGAAGTTTTCATTTATAGCTATGTAATGTAAAATATTTTATATCAAAACAAATTCTGACATATCTGGGGCAGTGAAGCACATTTTCTAAATCAATGCTGTTCAATGGAATTGTAATACGGGGGCGCCTGGCTGGGTCAGTCTGTAGAGCATGGATGACACTCTTGATCTCAGGGTTGTGAGTTCGAGCCTAATGTTGGGTGTAGAGATTACTTAAAAATAAAATCTTAAAAATACTGTAATATGAACCGTATATGTAGTTCTGTATTTTCTAGTAGCCACATTAAAAAAAAAAGGTGATAAGAGGGGTGCCTGGGGGGCTCAGTTGGTTAAATGTCTGACTTGGGCTCAGGTCATGATCCCATGGTTCATGAGTTCAAGTCCCCCGTTGGGTTCTGTGCTGACAGCTTGGAGCCCGCTTTGGATTCTGGGTGTCCCTCTCTCTGTGCCTCCTGCTTGTGCCCTGTCTCTCTCTCTCAATAATAAATATTTTAAAAATTTAAAAATAATAAAAATAAAGTGATAGAAAAAAATAAGAAACAGGAAAGATTGGGGTGCCTGAATGGCTCTGTCAGTTGAGTGTCCAACCTTGATTTCAGTTCAGGTCATGATCCCAGGGGTCATGGGATCAAGCCCTACATCAGGCTGCATACTCAGCACAGCATGGAGCCACCTAATAATCTCTGTTTCTCTCTCCCTCTCCCTCTCTACCCCCATTTCCCCACTCACACTCTCTCTGAAATAAAAAAATTTTTAAAAAGGAAACAGGAAAGATTAATATATTTCCTTTAACCCAACATACCTAAATGTTGTAATTTGAATATATAATCAACATAAAAATTATGAATGAGTTATTCTATGCTCTTTTATTGCACTAAATATTTGAAATCAAGTATAGGTTTTATACTAACAGGGCAACTCAGTTTGAACTAGCCACATTTCAAGTGCTCAGTAGCCACACGTCACTAGTGGCTACTGTATCGGGCAGGGAAGTTTTTAACCCTCATTCATTCAACAAGTATTTATGTGTTGAGTATGTTTCTGGGTACTAGGGAAACAGCAGTGTGAAAATCTGTTTTCTCATAGAGTTTATATTCTGGTAATTCCATCAGAAATACCTTTCCTCTAACTTGTACTACCCAGGTCACAGCACTAGATTTTGAAAAACCATTTGTTTGCCCTTGAGGTCTGTGTTGCCAGTATCCTGGGGTAAGGTTGTGGCCCTGAAATCCTAGTGCAGTTCTCAGGCAATGAGCAAATCTGTTGGTTGGGAGAGAGCTGAATAGTCTTTTGCCTGTAACTTTGTTCTTGGTAATTTTCAGATGCTATTTATAGGATGTTCTTAACCACATCAGTGACAGTAATTCATTTTAGCCTAACTCCTTACTTCAAAGATCCTATTCATGAGGAGGAGGCACCTCTCATCCAGGGCGCAGGCAGAAGACCTCTTTAATCTGCTGCTAATGGTGACTGCCAGCTTTTTTTCAAGAGATCTGCCTTGTGGTCATCAGGAGTACATGAAGACTGAGCTGTCCACTTAACCCCATACTTGAAAAAGTCTATTAATGGGTTCCCACACAGTACTGCTTATCCTGGGGTCTTCTGTCTGGTGTTCTACATCCTAAGGACATGTTGAACTGGAGCAATGTTTTTAAACCCAACTCTACACTACCTGACATGAGCCTAATGTGAATGTATACAGACTGTGAGAATGAAAATCTGAAAACAGACTCTGAAGACTTTTTTAAAAAGAGAAATGGTATGAAATAGCAGACCATAAGAATAGATCCCAGCCCAAGCTAGGATAAGATTCAACTCTCTCTAAACTTCCATTTGAGGGGCGCCTGGGTGGCGCAGTCGGTTAAGCGTCCGACTTCAGCCAGGTCACGATCTCGCGGTCCGCGAGTTCGAGCCCCGCGTCGGGCTCTGGGCTGATGGCTCAGAGCCTGGAGCCTGTTTCCGATTCTGTGTCTCCCTCTCTCTCTGCCCCTCCCCCGTTCATGCTCTGTCTCTCTCTCTGTCCCAAAAATAAATAAACGTTGAAAAAAAAATTTAAAAAAATAAAAAATAAAAAATAAAAAAAACTTCCATTTGATACCATTCCTCTTGAAGTTTAACCACCATAAATAACCAACATTCTCCAAAGTAAACATGAACTACCCCAGCTTTTATATAATCCCCACAGAGTGATTAGATACTTTAAATGCTGTAAAGAAACCTCTTTGGGAAGTATACCATATATATGTATGAGTATGGTATAGTTCCCAAAGCTCTCATTTTTCTCCTTCAGATTGAGAAGGTGAAAAAACTTCAGACAGATTGAAAGAGTGAGCTGGCGTTCAGCTCACATAAAACTGGCCACCAGATTTTTCAGCTAATTTAGGAGTAAAATTCATAAACGCAAAGAGTATTTCTGCTATGCAAAGGGTAAACCAGAGAGATGAGCACAAAAGGATATGTTTGAATGTCTGCCAGATAAGTTTATATGTCAAAAGACTCCAGCACCCTGTATTATGTTACAGGTATTAGCAGGGAATAGATACAGTTCCATATACAGTAGTGATAACCATTTTCATTTCACTACAAATTTTTGTCTTTTTAATGATGATTAGGCTTTATTAGCTAGCCATTACTAATGATAGCAGTAATTGTCCTCAATAGTTGATTATTTTCTGTGGTGACTTCTCAAGTGGAATCCATTTTAATGTACTCACAATTGGGGGAGGGCAAGTTATATGAAATAAGGCAGTCTGTGTGACTGTAAGATGCTAGGGCTGCAAAGCCCAAATGTAGTATAATTGACTGATGTGAACTGAAACTTGACATTGTAGATAAGGGAAAGTGTATGTGTTATGGTGTCAGAGATTTAAAAAAAAAAAAAGGATCACATGTGAAACAAGCTTTATAGAAATAAGAAACATCTCTGGGGCACCTGGCTGGTTCAGTCAGAGGAACATGTGACTCTTGATCTCAGGGTCATGAGTTTGAACCCCACATGGGATGTAGAGATTATGTAAATAAAAAAATATCTCTGACATTGTAAGAAGGAAAGGGAGTATGGGATGTTTAGGGAATAGTAAGGAAGAGGCACTTAAATAGCAGCACATACTTTAGCAATGTAAGACTAAGTATCTTGTTAAACAGTTACTCTTAATATTGGTAGCAAGACTCCTTCTTGCTTTCAACATTTACTGAACTTTATTTTAAAGACTCATTCCCTGAAATAATGCATCTTTTTGTTTGTTTAGGTTCCAGAGTTCTAAATCTGGAAAGATCTACCTCCATAGAGATGTACGGCTCCTGTTCTCTAGAAAGTCAATGGAAGTTGATAGCGGTGCTGCGTATGAACTCAAATCTTACACTGAATCGCCAACAAACCCTCAGTTTTCACCAAGATGTTGATAAGGAGTGACAATTTAAAGCGTTCGCTCAGTACCCAAGTCTGAAAGTAAAAATTAGCATAGAACGGAGTGCGCCAATTAACATCCAGGAGGGTGGATCCTCTCCTGTTATCCTGGACCAGTTTTTATTAAAGGATTCCTGGAATGAGATCCACATATTCCAAGTAGACTGGAAACACTCATGTCCTAATCCATTTTGTACTGTTGAAACCACTTCATTGGACGTGTTGCAATAGCAACCCCCCCTTCCCCAATTAGATTAGTGTTTACACATTTTATTTCTCAGTTATTTAATATTTAATGTTTTCCTTAATACTCAAGTGATGTTTGTCTCTAGTGTTCTAATGTAGCACAAATCCTATGTAAAATCATACTATGTATTTTTGACATTAATGTTGAAATCCAAAATATATGCACAAGTCTTTAATTTTGTGTGTGATGTGTTTTAAGTACTATTCATTTAATTTATTGAAAATGAGAATGAAATGTTGAGCTTCTTTAAGATTAACGCACTATGCAAGCATGTGTACTTTTTATATCTCCAAGGTTTAGTTTTTACAATATCCCATCCTGGTTGCTATCTCACATACTAGTCCTGTAACATGCTGTTTTTGGCAGTGCAACGTGGACTAAGCTGCTTCACACTCCCTTTGCAAATTCAGATCATTATGCCCATTCATATTACTTCTAGAACTCCTTACTCCCAAAACAGTTCTATTTTTCCTTAATTGCTACTACAGAAGCTTTACATTAAATTGCTGTCCCATGCTAGATAACTTTTGCAAATTGTTAAAAAAAAATATGTACTTTGAAAACAAATTAATATTTATATTGTAAATATACGCAAAAACAAAGAAACGTGTATTTGGCTTTTATTTTTAGATGAGATCTTCATGTGATTAAGTGAATTTCTGATAACCATCAGACAGTTTCCATTCTAGCTTTACAGCTGACAAGAGGGGAAGGAAGATGTCTTGAGCCTCTTCCCCAAAGAAATTTATCATGTTCTTGCTCAGGGTCACATTAGGAAAACCACTGAGGAAGGGAATTGATTGAATGCATCAAAAGCCCTCCTTCCATCCCCCTAAAAAGAAGAATGGTTTTAGATGTTTGTGCAGGGACAGTGGGCAACAGCAGATCGGATGACAAGGCACAGATACTGGGAATGCTGGTACAAAGCAACAAGTGCAGGTTAGAGAATACATACTACTCAAGTAGGCCACACCAAGAGACCTGGGAGTCAAAGACCAGGTGAGTGCTTTGGAATTTTGGAGATGAGAAGGTCCTTCTATTGGGATCCAGATAATGGATAGACTATTCAAGGGAAATCAGACCAGTGATGAGTATGTGACTGCAGGCTGTGGGGTGGCCAGCAAGAAGCCTCTTATAAATAACTTTTAAAATACTTGCTGAGGCATCTGGTGTCTCCGTCACTTGAGCATCCAACTTTTGACTTTGGCTCAGGTCATAATCCCAGGTGTGGGATTGAGCCCACATCCAGCTCCCTGCTGAGCATGGAGTCTACT